GTTGAACAGAACCTTCAGAGTACAATGTTTAGAGTTGTACACAGCATGCATTTTAGATAGATAGATAGATAGATAGATAGATAGATAGATAGATAGATAGATAGATAGATAGATAGATAGATAGATAGATAGACAGACAGATAGATAGATAGATAGATAGATAGATAAATAGATAGATAGATAGATAGATAAATAGATAGATAGATAGATAGATAGATAGATAGATAGATAGAATTTAATTTAAATAATTAATTAATTTAATTTAATTTATGTTGTATAACTTGAGTAATATCAAATTCTTGGGAGATCAAGAGGAAGTGATTATCTAAAACATCATCAGTACTAATTGAAAAACACTATGTGTGTAGTTGCGGCAAGACCTGTGACTTCCATTCACATTGGCACAAGCTTGAGCATATTTGGTTTTTAATGCAAATCTTTCTTTTAGATGATTTGGCATTGTTTCTGTAAGCCGCGTATTTGCTACCCTCACCATGGTTATTTTTAATGCACCTTAAATTCCTAATGAACGTGTCACTTCCGTTTTAGTTTTACTGAAACTCTTATGATCGAAGGAGGAAAATTATCATGATTCGATTCGCTGAAAGAGTTGTTTATTCTACAAAACATTGCGGATACAAAGTATTTATTTTCAATTTCGGACTCAAAATCTCCGGAGACTTGACCAAACCCGGATGGTTTTTTTCATTTTGTGGATTCACTCATCTACGTTTGTAAACGTAACCTTAAGTTATGAACGCGATTGACGTGCTTCAATCAGTCAATGAACTAAAAACGGCGGCAAAGAATTTTACAAGTAAGTTATGTCATTTCACATACCTTAAAAACGCTTAGGCTTACCGATAACCTCACCTTTGGGAACATTACAGTGGGGTGGGCGGAGGGGTTCAGTCGCATTTGGTGAATTGTGCGTACCACTGAAAAAATGCTGGCTACGCCCCTGAATAAGTAATAAGATACCATTACAAGTTCAGTTTCATCCTCGGCTGGTAAGTTTGAATGAAGCAACCGTCTCTTGACAGGGTGTCTTGATCATTCTTCAGTTGCTTCGTGTCTCCCATCATTAGAAGAATTATGTGTACAGCTAGTGTATGAAGTTTTTTACTTACGCTCGGAGCTAACAAATTAAAGGAAAACTTGCGGAGCTACTGCTCGAGGGACGTCTGACCACCTTAAGCGCCATACGCAATGAAGTCGTTTCGATACGACTAGACCCTCAAGCACTGAAATAACACAAAATTTTGATCACTTCAAGTATAGTTTGCTCGTGAACAAGAAAACATATTGTTCTCAATACACAAAATATGCCAGGAAGAAAGACATTGTTTACTACATATTTTTTTCCTACGGATGCCAAGTTAAGGTATCACAACAATAGTTACTTGGTGTTTAAAGGTTTTAATTAATTCTATCTACCAAATAGCAGTCCGCCACTGTTAAATTCTAAAGTAGGTTGAGTTTGTTGTTGTTGACAATGACTGACGTTTCTACAACCCGAGCGGAAGTCATCTTCAGAGTTCAAATCATCTTCAAATTCTGATTTGGACGATCAGAAATAACAGTTATAAAATGGGTTGCTGTTATTGATAATTCTTGTCATCTGAAAAGTAAACGGCAGATAAACCAAAAGGAAAGGTTATAAAGCTTTGCGTGTCGTGTTCTGATGAATGCATTCTCGACGCGGTCCCCAAACATCCCTGATGAAACAAATTTTTAAAGATACGTACTCTCCATTTCAAAAGGGTCAGCATTAGATCCCATCGGCCGTAGCCCGTTTCTCCTCTTATGAAATTTACACGAGGTAGAACTCTTTTCTGCTTTTATATCACATTTATATGATATTTCAAGTTTGAAATGTTTATGAAAGTGGAAGTCTCTTCAATTTAAAATAAAAAAAAAGTTCGGTATGAAGGGCAGTGGGATTCGAACCCACGACTCAAAAGACCCAGTACACCACTCTTACCACTGCCGATTTGCTGGATGGTGAGGAAATAATTTAACTACATATAGCATCAACCCTAACCCCCCAAAAAGACCCTAACCAGTTTCGAAAAGGCAGTGCTTAACCCCAACTAGTAAGACGGAAAACTACGTTGTGTAAATTACACAAGGTGTCCGGGACCCCCCCCCCCCCCCCCCCCGGGGGGGGGGGGGGGGGCGGCTACCGTCGATGGGATCCACTGATAACCTTCAAGAGGACTGTATGCTATTTCACGGGGACCTTACCAAATTACGAAGGCAACGGGAATCATTAGTGTCAAAGAAGGCAATAGGCAAAACAACCACTCTTTACATGCAGCATGCATTTTTCCTTTTTCTTCTTTGGTTAGTTGAGGCATGATCACAGTGATATTTTGTGTGAAAAACACAGAATTTGGTCCAAGAAACACACAGACCCCGTTAACAGTGCACACGCGTTACCTGTGCAAAGCGTTTACACCAAACACGGAGCCATACAAATTCTGTTTACAGGACTCCGTACATCAATTTGCCCTCGTCAGCATTGGAATGGCTACGCATCTAGCTTTTACCACGCCAACAGCCAGCATTAGGAGAAATTTTCGATCCCCAGTTAAAACTCATCTACCCCGCACGTAAAAAAAAATTGCTACAGCAGCGCCTCAACAAATTCTGTGTTGCCTTGGTAAAGAGAAGGGACGCAGAAAGCGATGTTTTGGCAGAAATAATTAGATGATTTAAATGGCTAGTCACTAGTTTTGATGCCCTCGTCTTTATCGTTTCTTTCAACATCCCGAAAATGTTCGTGAGAATGGTCGTCTATATTTCGATCTGTTCGCCTATGTATCTTTTTACGTGGTGTCAGAAGCTCCTGGTGGTGTACAGGTGATGCAATAGATGGCATTTGCTAATGTGCGGGTGAATTAAATAGTCATTGGTCTTAACAGACTGTCTGGATTTCGAAAGTTTGATTGTGTTGTAAATGTAGGGAAAGTTTTTACACCGTGTAAGAAACAACCCTACAGCAGGTGACACAGAGTCGAGTCCCCAACTTCACCCATGACCTTGCGCATGCGTTCTAACTGCTCGGTCACGCCGCCCCTCCGATAGGTGATGCCGGGGTGGTGGGAGCTTAAAGCAATAAAAACACGGCTCATTGCCATTATCTTTGATACAACATTAATTACCTTTATATCCAGCTACAATAATGTTGGATATTTTTCTTTCTTTTTAGTTACACCTTTTAAAGCAGAGTTAATCAACCTTCACCGCTAATATGCTATGATTAACCTTCATCAATTCTTCATAACCAGCTCGAGTTGACCAAATTTGGAACACGTTTACGAGATCCTATAAAATGACGTCAATATTTCAAGATAAACGCCAGAGAAAGGGTCGGCGACGTTGAAGCCCTGAGGACGAGGCTGCGTTTTCTTGGTAGAGCTGTAGAAAATGGCGGAAATCTTCACAAGATTTTCGATGAGGAAATGACCGAACCTCTGAAGGAACAGGCAAATTAAGACGAGAACCTAATACCGATTGAGGTAAGCTTGTTTTTTGAATTATGAATAATTTAAAATAAATAATAAAAACATAATAAATTTGGCTACCGTATTAAGATCCGAAGAATTATGCAGAGGTGACATTACCGCGGATACCAAAGCCCGCCTAAGACGTGCAATACGCGCCTAGCGTGAAATACTATAAGACCCGGATTTCGTCTTACAATACGTTTAATCTGTTGTATTTTTGTGTAAATGAAAACCATCAACAGTACTAATGGGACAATATTAGGACACATTGACACCCTCATTCTAACAACAGAGAGGGTCGATTATAAGTTCGTGACTCCTCATACATCCCGAAGGTTAATCTCAACCAGAAGTTGTACACAATTTTATAAACGTTCATTTTTCTTCAACCAAGAGTCTTTGTCTTTTAAGATAAAAGATAATTTTGGTAAAATATAACGAACTATTAACAGCCTTTTCAAAAGGTCGCTCTATAAATTATCAGTTCACTTGTGAAATGCGACCTGTGCCATTCAAATAGGCGTGTTTCAAGTCTTTTGTTTGTCCGTTGATGTAGTCGTTTTCATTTACTTCTCCGTTGATGTAGCCGTGTGTTTTGATTCCGTTTTGCAGATGAGATATAATATGAGCATGACCATTCTCCATTTTTGTGGAATGAACAACTTCCCTGGAATGTTTATGCTCCAACAACATGTGATTTTGCGGCTTCAAGCCAACGCAAGCCCTGAAACAGACCACGCCACATATTAATTTCTTAGGATTCCAATATCAAGGTGATTGTTCTCTACAAAGTCTATTTGTTTCTTACGATACTTACAAGGTGCATTCAATAGTTTGTTAAATTACAATTGTCTACCTGTAAAAAAGTGTTCTAAATGTACGGCACAGAGGTTACAATTGGCTTTTATGTATTATTTTATTTATTTATTGTATTAATCCTCCGCCACAAACAAATGACTGGTTGTCAAACCAGCTATGCCAAAGAGAAGAAAATAACTTTTTTAAACTCCTGGATTCGGGCACCCCAGCCAAAGGAAGGTCTAGTCTTTTTACAGTACAAAGGTAGACCCCGAGTATTAGTCCAGCCCTGAAAGCGCGATATTTCGCTGTGCAGTCAAGCGCTCCACCCACTGAGATAATCCTGGGCAAGCAGAAAAACATTTAATCAGAAACAAAGTACATCGCATGCAGTAAAACCCCGCTAATAAGAACCTGTATTTTCCCAAGTTAGCATGGTAATTAGCACAAATTTAGGCAATTTAGGTTCTTAAATAGATTCTTATTTTCTGAAGGAAAAAAAATTCATGCTAGATCTGAGTATCTTGTGGTATTCAGCTCATTCCTTGTATAAAATCGGCATACCAAATTAGCATTTTCTGTAAAAATGACTGATTAGAAGAAAGACTGAAGCACCGGACCACATGAATTTCGAAGTCCTTTTGAACAGAAATGTACAGATTTTTTTAAAAATAGATCTTAGAAAATACGCATCTCTTCCAAATTTTAGGCTACACATGTTCTTGTATAGAGGGGGCCTAGGTTCTTTACACCAGATCACTTACCTAAAGATGTTTTCAATACAGCTTCTTTGCTTAAAGAGTGCATTGACAATTGGTGTGCCAGAAGGTACAAGTGGAGCTTTAAGAAGGTAGCTAAGAAGAGAAAGAACTGGATGGAACGACTGGAACTCTTGATCACCTTCTACTTTAAACTTGATTCTTTCACAGATTTCACACAGGATAACCAAGTCCAAGATGATTGGCGCAGCCAAAAGAGAGTCCTGTACCAGATAAACCATTCAATTAAATACCGTAAAACTCCGAAAATAAGCCGCTCCATGTATAAGCCCCCCAAATCGGTAACTTAAAAAACCCTCTGTTAAATCGCTCCTCCAAATATAAGCCCCCGGCAGCTTGTAATTGGAAAATTGCCCTCAAATACAGAGAAAAACAAAGCAAAAACGGTAGGTTTACTTCCAACTATATGGCTAGCCCAATCGATTTTGAGACACAAATTCCCTCCGAATATAAGCCCCTCAAAAAGGGCCTTTGAAAAATATAAGCCCTGGGGCTTATTTTCGGAATTTTACAGTTTTACATAATTATTAATATCAATAATGAAGAAATGTTAGGTTTTCTGATAATTGCAGTAAGTAGGTGGTCTCAGAAACCTAAAAAAAATCTCTCTCTTAAGATCCAAATTTTGATGCAAGACAGTATTGGATTTTGGATTCAACACCATGGATTCCATATTCCATGAACTGGATTCAGGATTTTTTGTCGGTAGAACTTGGATTCCAGATTCCAATCGTTAGTGGAATTCTGGATTCCAGAACCCAGGATTCCTGATTCTACAAGAAAAATCTCATTGATTCTGGATTCCACAAACAAACATTTCCTGGATTCTGGATTTCCTTACATGGGATGAAACATAATAAAAGAATGTACATGTAGCCTCTTAATTTTAGTTCATGTTCACCAAACGCCCACACCAATAAAAAAGGCATCTTTATTTTTTCAGATTTTACATCAAACATATCTGGATATTAACTACCAATTGGCAAAGCCATGAATGACTGACATACCTCGCATGTGTTGTGGAGGACAATAGTGTTGAGGCCATGCATGAATATCTCGGAAGTGTACTCGTCTAAAGCCCGCTTGCTGTCGCCCACATAAGGAACATATTTAATGACAACACAATGGTCTGGCTTCTCTCCTTCCTCGTAGAGAATGTGGTTAGATTCAACCATATCATCTACCACATTACTTTTGGAAATCTGTTAGAAAATTAGGAGAATATAAAGGATAAGCATCGAAATGGAAATAGAAACACTAGGAAATTTTTATTTTATCCTTGTAGCAAATTCTTGAGTTTGTAAAATTTCATTTTTGCTTTTCAGTAGTCAATTTCAACTTTGACTTGGATAACCAAGACCATAATATCCAAGTCAAAGTTTAAATTTACCACTGTGTGGCAAAAATGAACTTTTACAAATTCTAGGTTATGTTAATTTAACTGAAAAACAACAACAACAACAATTATAATAAAACTGATGAGGAGTGGATGCTACAGTTTAAGGGGGTGGTAGTGGGGGAGAGGGTAAGTTTGGGCAATTACATATTGTTCTCTGCATGCGTGAATGGTATATGTTTGTGTTGTAGCCTAAAAGTCGTATTTAATTTTTGGATCTAGTAAAGTTTACCTCTTTGGATCTGAACTGCTGTGGTGCTGACAGGTTTTTCCCATCATTATTTCCTAGATGGTTGTAGCTGACAATAGAAACAGGCTGCAAGAAAAGTGAAGTGATAGATTTAATGCAAAGCTATGCTTTATCAGTGGCCTACAGTTAATAGCTAAGACCAACTTAACCCTTTAAGTCCCAATAGTGACCAACAGCAATTTTCTCCTAACGATATCCATACATTATCATGAGATGAGGTTATGAGAATTAATTAAATGATCACCTAAGAGAAAATGCCTTGATCTTTTATCAAATTCTCTCAACTCATTTTTTAAGGAAATGTATGGAGATCAGTTTGGAGAATTTGTATGTGGATATTGGGGCTTAAAGGGCTAAAGGGGCTATGTCACGCCATTTGCTATCTTTTTAGAAAGTTAAAAAAATTTTTTGGCATCAATTGAATTCTAGAAACAACGGTCCAGTATTCAGGCATTGAAACTGTTTCCTGTTGTCTTTTTCAACGGCTAGGCTTCGATCGAAACTTTAAGTTATGGTTAATGCTCCCTAAAGAAATTGTTATAATTATCTTTGATATCTCGTTCCTAGCTATGGCGGCATTTTGTGTATGGGTTAAGGCACTAAGTAATGATTTCAGCACAGAAGTGACCTAAAACAGCAATATCCAGGTGACATATCCTCTTTAAATTATTTTTTGCATACAGCCATGTCAACATTGGCTATGCATGCAGTTGGCCTGTTAACCACAATGAGCATGAGGGGAGCGCCTTAGAGGCTGGAGGGGCCAAGTGTTGTAGCCAAATGCATAACTCTGTGAGTAGTAGTCACCACCCAGGCACTACATGCCACAATGAGCTTAACCTGTGGTTTCTTACCATACTTACCATTATACTTACCAAAGGGAGGGCGGGGTGGGGAGGAGAACACTTCACGAGCTCAAGCAACGTAAAGCAATGCAAACTAAGCCTAAATTTCATGTACCATAAAAAAATTTAATAGTTAATTTTCATGAGCAGGACAAACAAACAAACAAAAGCAAAAAACTGTTTTTGAGAAAAGAAAAGGAATTTTGTCATTATTCTAAAACATATCAATGCACTGTCATCTGATGACAAAAAAGATGCCCATATGAGTCAATTAAAGAGTGAACCCTCTGATAAATGCAGAAAAAGGTTGCCAAGAAAAACAATGTTCTAGATAATAAACCCAAAAGCCTTCTGAAGGAGTGGTGTAAATATCATTACCTTTATACCAGCGCTAACTAAGAAGTCAACAAGCACAGATTTCATCTTTGTCTGCCCAGACTTGAAGTCATCCCCACCAAGAAATGTGCCGTACTTCTTAGCAAGATCAATGACACCTGGGACGTTAGTGTTCTGAGGTGAGCCATTTATGTAGGAACACTGCAAATAGAAAAAAAAGTGTTAATAATTTCACTGAATAAATCCCATTTTCAAATGGAAAGAAACCATCATTTACCTTTTCCAAGATGCTAGCAACAGCAAAGATAGTTGATGGAGAAACCTCTTCCTCATTCCGAGCAATGGAGTTCAAGAGGTTCTCAGCAGTGTCATTAAGGCCATCCTGTACATCACAAAACCGCTCTGTATTTGCCGTCCACAGAACAATCACCTAAGACATGAAAATACAGTAATGTACTGAGTGCAATAAGCCTTCCTTTTGAAACACATTTAGAAAATACATTAAATTATTTCAAGAGAATCAAGGGAGTGAAAGAATTTTGTTGTTAGTTATTGTAAAAATAAAGAGTAGTGAATTTATATTTGAATAGCTTAACAAGATTAAATATGGGTATATGTGAAAAACTGTATAAAGTTATTACATTCGCAAACTGCAGATGAAATATGATCATGAGTGATCCCCTTAGTTCCAGGAGGTCACATTAGGTGCACGAAAAAATAAATAAATGACTAAATAAATTTGGCATGAGGAAATTTCAAAGGCTAGTTCTTTATGAGAATTCTTATAGTTGTGATCATAGTTTAAATCAGTGTTGCATTTTTAAACAAGCAGTCCATCTGACACCCAAAAAATCATGTTTGATGAGGCGAATAAACTTCTGAGATCATCCTGAGACACCTAACTGTTTCAATTACAGCATATTGGTTCCATGAAAAAGGAATTCTAGCCCTATCCACCCTCTTTCCCAGAAAATCAAAAACAAATCACAAGGGTGAAGGGGGAACTCAAGTAATTTAATTACCGTAAATCTTATATTAAGCACCACCTGAAGGGGGGGGGGGGGGGGGAGGGGGTTTTTTAATTAAAAACAATTTTAAGGGGAGGGGGGGGGTTTAATAGGGTGGGGGGCCTTTTTATTTTAAAAAAAAAAAGGCCTCTTTTTTCCCAAAAAAACAATTTTAAAAAAGGGAAAAAACCAAAATAAAAAAAGTGGGGGGACTCGAGCAGCACCTCCCATTGGGTGAAAACAAATTCTCCCCCCCCCCCCCCCACCCCCAAAAAAGCCCTTTATTCACCCCCCACAAATCCCCCCCCAAAAAAAATTGTTTTTTCCATTTTCCACAACTTCGCCAAAATTTAAATTAATATTTTGTCTTAAATTTTAATTTTTTTGCAAACACCAAAATTTTTAAAATTTTTCCCAAAACCCAAAAAAAAAAAAAAAAAAAAAAAAGAAAGGGGGGGAAGGGGAAAAAAAATAATTTTATAATATAAAAAATAAAAAAAAGGCGGGGGGGGGGGGGGGGGGGGGGGGGAAGGGGCTTATTAATTACAAACACATTTGACAGGAGAGGGAGGGTTTAATAGAGATGGGGGCCTATTTAATTTAGCAAAGACAATGGCATCTGTTCTCCATAAAGAACTATATTACAAAGTGGAAAAACTCAAGTTCAAGAAGTTGGAGGTCATGCAGCCGAACTTCCAGTTGGTGAAAAACAATCCTCCATCAGTCCACACAAAGTTTTACAGTCATTATTGATTAACACAGCCTACCATTTATTAGTAAAGAATAATAAGGGGGAGGGGAGGGGGCTTATTAACTTTCTTCCCCTGTAAAAGGGGAGGAGGGGCTTATTTGAGACGGGAGGCTTAATAGAAGATTTACAGTATCTAGGAACACTTAATAGGGCCTTATGCTCTGAAATTTCCTAACAACTCTACAGGTTACCCAGGGTACCAGAGGTTTTTTCTTGCATGCAGCAGGACATTTCAACATTAGAAGCAGGCCGAAACCATGAGCAGCGAAGCCGTTAGAAAAAACCTCTGGTACGGAAGGCTACGAATTACCGTTCAAGGCGAACTTCGATCTTTCGATCTTTTTTCTCGGACTACATTTAAACCAATCAGATGGAACGAGGAACAGATGGAACCAACTGTGATCACATGGACTGGTGCGTGAAGATATCCTTGTTGAAATCATTGTTTTTTTATTTTGCATATACAGGCGCAACAACTAGAAAATAAATTAAAATAAGCTTTCCAATTCATACAAGAACTTTTGTGAAGTAATTCTTATCTTGTATGAAAAATTATCTGATTTGCCAGATTCAGAAGCCCTGGCTTAGAAAATGAAATGTTTGCCTTTTGCTAAACTACTCAATGCCGTAATGCTTGTTTAAAAACTTTCGCTAATGCAAGAACAGACACCTATAAGCCATTGTCATTCTTCATTACACATTACAATGACAACAAAGTTTGAATTGTTCTATTTTTGTCCACCGATATTAGTGTCTCTGTTAGATTCAAAATCACTCAGGCAGTTGTTAGAAGCCAATCAGCCTTCATGACCAGAAATGTGATTGGTTGTTGATATTGAAGCAGAAGTGCTCTGGTCAGGAAACTTTTCAAGCAGGTTACTATTAAGACTTGACTAAAACTGGAAACTGAATAAAAAGACTCTGGCACCAAGAACTTAAGAAGGAAACCTTACTTTTTTCCCCACTCTTACAGCAATACAATGACCTGTATGGTAAGTTACCTTATCAAGGTAGTTTTTCTGCTTGAAATCTTGGATGTCCATTCTTATTTGTTCCAGCATTTCCTGTTTTGTCCCTGACAAGACATTATCGGCACGGTCAGCCTGATTGGCAGCAATGAAGTCAGGGCAGTAAATTGATGGACGTGGCTTTAGTTTCTCTAGGTAAGGCCTGAGTTGCCTCTGAAGTCCACTGTCCAATACCTGAGCCCTTTCTGTGGCATCAGCCAGGTTGAGCGATGAGATGTCCCAGCCTGCAAAAACCAATCAAATTTTTAATACTTGCTGTTCCTTCACATTAACCCCTTGGTGTAACTAATACTGCTTTCCTAATTATGGAAAATTTATAACTTCTTAATTTGTTCAACTTCCATTGTCTTAACTTTATTATTGGACCGGGCTTATGGGAATCTTTTGACACAATGTATTGCTTTAACTCAATATCTTACTTGCCTAACTTGTAAAAAATAATGGAGTAATTATTAGTCAATAATTTCTTACGAATTTTTTTCTACGATTTTTACCATAATTAAACCTCCTACCTTGTAACATTCATGAATTGTCTACGATTTACATCGTAGCTTGTCAAACGTACCATCAAATACAATGTCATTGGGGTGAACCATCGGAAGAAGATCCTTCAAGGGCACATACACATCTCCACCAGGCCCAGTTCCCAGGCAAACAGTAGAAGATTGAGTCATGGAGCCAACATAATTTGCTTTCTGTGAATAAAATGAAGAAAATAAAATGATTATTAAGAACAATAAATATAAGAGAAAGGAAAACAAGAAAAGAAAACAAAACAAAACAAAAAAACAAAACAAAACCATAAAGTATTTATGAACTTTTCAAGGACTTTTAACCCTTTCCCCACGGGAAATTTTGCCGAAAAACACAGTGCTATAAATTTATCTTAACCACGATAGAGAAACGCAAGTTAAAGTGGTTGGGGCATGTATCAAGATCATCAGGGCTTGCCAAGACAATTCTATAAGGAACAGTGCAGTATTGATGCTACCATGTTTGACAGCTGCTACTAACCTGGATTGAACTGTTTATATCAATAGTGATATGTCTTTCCCTACCCGCGCCGCCGGGAAACACATGCCGACTACCTTCTCTTATTCTCCTGCTACTTAAAATATTTTTGACAACCCTGCTTTTCAATACAGTAAAACGCATACTATTTACTAAGGTTATGTTTTGTCACTTCACATTCTGATTTATAATCTAGAAGCATTGTTCCATTTTCACTTGACATTTCTACATTTAAATGTGATTAAAATGTTCACTGTATAGTAAAAACTAGTTTTTTCCTTATTTCCGGCTATTTGCATTGAGCTCCTGATAACTCAAACTTTTTTATGATTCCCCTTGAAGGTTTGAGTTATTCGTAGTCAACTGTATATAATACAACGGTCCTTCCCTCCTTCCCTCAGAATAGACTGAGCTTAACACTAAAACTGAACTGACCTTAACACCAAGTTTTGTGTTCCATGACAAACCCAGTTTATTTGCAAGTACAGCAGCGGTGATCGTGGAGCCATTATTGCCACCCCATCCCACTAACATACATCCAATTTTTGGAACATGTCTTTCAGTGCGAAAGGTGTACACTGTTTCAACAGGCTTCACATTGTAGGTACCCTTTGAGTTGCAATCAACCTTGGTAGTCTCATATGTATATTTACTCTCAATATACTCTGAAGTGTAATGCACATTTGGGCTTTCCACTTTGAATGTTGTCATGTTCCTGCAATTTATGGACCCTAAAACAAGAAGAAAATAGCACTTAACATTTGCCATCATCAATTGGCATAGCTATTGTATTATCAACTTTACGTCCAAAGGCTGATTTTCACTAGCAATGGCGTCAGAGTCATAAGCAGAGTCGTAAAGAACGTTTAGGGCTAGACTTACAGAAAATCAAAAATCATAGTCATAAGCAGACATAAGTGCACTGGAATCGGAGTTGGAAGAATCAGAATCTTTCCATTTTCTTCTGACTCCCTCGTTTATGGTTCAGATTGTTGGATTCGTCAGCAGAAGCGGAAAATAAAGCAATCACAATGCTCATCTGCACACTTCAAAATCCATGAGAATCCTAGTTGAAAGCGGCAATGTACATTATAATTTATTGTCAAACACTCGTTTACAAATGAAGTTACATTGATTGCAAGGCATTTTATTGCGGGCGACAAAAGGAGCCCGCGACCTATTCTTGGTCAGCAGCACTCTATTAACTGTATAGCTGGATTTTTTCTTGATCTGTTCAAATTCCTGTATTGTACAGACTAATTTGCATGGTATGAATGGTATGTGGCCTCGAAGACCCTGGTTTTGAGTTAACGGTCCGTCTGATATCACGGTAATCATGTGAATGCACATGCAAGTCATGCAACAATCATGCATTATTAGATTCCCTAAGCTGAGACCAGACTCTACTTTCATTTTCCTGGGTAAATAGATTCCAGGTCGGCAAGGCGAATCGAACAGTCTCCCATTTAGTACGAATCGAATGTAATAATGATTGTTGCATCACTTGCATTCACGTAATTACCATGACTTCAGACAGACCTTAAACTCAACACCAAGGCCTTCGCAGCCACATGCCATGCATATTAGTTGGTACGTACAACACAGGCATTTCAAGAATGTGGACAGAATCAGGAAAAAATCTCGCTATACAGTTAGAAGAGTGCCGCTGACCAAGAATGGGTGGCAGGCTCCTTTTGTCGCCTGCAATAACTTCAAGGATACTGGAAAGTGACCACAAATGCTGACAGGATTTAAACATTATATCAAATTTTAGACAAAAATTTTCTATCTTATTAATTTGCCCCGTGAAATTCATTATTCATGTATCTTTTTAATCACGATTAATTCACATTAGTTGGTGTTTACAGGAGTACTATAAAACTGCCTACATGAGTTAATTATTAATGGAGCTGTGTACATTATTAATTGTTCCGTCCATTCCTCTAACGACGGCAGAACGAGCAAGACGACGGAAACCAAGTGAAATTTGCCATCAACGTGAAATGTGCCTCACACATTTTGCTTACTGTTCAATCCTTAAAGATTACTTCTAGTTAATGTAGACTTCTACCACATTAAATATTTAACAAGACTGTATTTAATATGCTAGGTGAAAAACAATGTTTTCAAGAGTTCATCGACAACACTTCGGACAAAAAGTTATAATTCTAACTTTAGAATAGACAAACATTGACAAAAATCTTTAAAAACTGTGTGGGACGAACAAAAACTTCATCCTTTTCATCTTCCTGTTTAGATCAAGTCTATATATTGTAAAATCTGAAGCTAATCAAATAAAGAAGGTGAACTCTAATCTTCGAAAATGGACGTAAAAGATTGCATAATCAGCATGAAGCTCCTGTAAACTTATGCAAAATGTTTGTCGAGGCAGCGCCCAAAACCACGATTTTGCAAGGAGTACATTTTTGTTGTCACAAGTCGTCAGAAAAACTTTCGACTGCTAGAAAGCACTAAACCTCACCGTTGGTCGACCGACTGTGGCTTCTCTTGATATAAAAATGCTGTTTAGCCCAAGCTTTTAAGGAACAAACTGTGCTTTCAACGGACAATTAACGCCGGCATGGTCGAATGATTCCAGCAGCCAAGCTACTGCAGTATAAACATGCATGATGACGTAACTACTAAATTTAATACCCAGTTTTTATGTATTTCAGAAATGGTTCAACTTTTACTTTCCGTCGTACATTGGATAACGTAACAAACCTGCGCCTTTCAGCTAGCTAGGACTCCAACTGCTACAAGTCTTAAGCTTAAGCTTTAATAAATAATTTAAAAACCTCCATGCTTGTTGGGGAATTTTTGCGCGAAAGTGGACCAAATTATTGAGCTAAGTTTACTCTCTCTTGCCGAAAAACTAACCATGTTGAGTTGTGTTTTTTGTGCCTAAGGTTTTCTCTACACGTAAGCTTACGGCACGCAAAAATTCATGTTGACTAGCATGCAGTGGTTCGTAAAGAAGGAAGATGTTCTTGGAGAACACCAGGAATACGAACAGATGTTGGACTTAAATAATTTTAAAATAAAACTCTTTGTTTGTAAAACTTACCTCGATATGCGGTTTTCAGGTTTTCAAAACAAGGAGTACGAGACTAACAGGTCTTTAACGATGCCAAAGCTACAAGTACAAACGCGAAGTGAAATAACTGCATGAGTGAGCCACGTTGTTCGAAAGATGCAAATCACAAGCAAAGCGCGATCCATCTCGACCAATGAGATGAATGAAGGCTTTGCAACATGGAACAGTGACAGCTGGAACTTGCACCCGCGTGTTTTCGTGCACTGGCGCGCTTGTAGCCGGCTTTTACCTGTTGTTCTTGCCAGGGCCCATGGTAAATCCAGGGTCTGGGATTAATGGCGTTTCCTGGGTTTGAAGACAGCAGACAGTGGCCTCAAAAGGCAAAGGTCATGACCAAAATACGTAAAACGAAAAGAGCGAGTGAGGATATGCTTTAGCTATTGTTTCATTGTATGCACTGGAGAATGCCATCACTCGTCTCGAGCACAGTCAGCATGGTCGTGCAGACCCTGAGATAAGGGGTGGGGGGGCAGAGTTTCCAAAAAAACATTTTTTCGGCCCTTCGGCCTTCGGGCCTCAGTTTGGTCTAAAAGTAAGGAGGGAACCGGGCCTCCCGGGCCTCTCCGGCTCTCCCCTGGACCGCCGCTGGTTGTACAGTCGCATAGTCAGCATACCTTGTGTTGCACGTGATCGGGTAAAAAGTTCAGACGTAGTCAGTGTGTGTGTCAAAACACGATCAAAATGGGATCGACTGAAGAGGAGTTAGAAATTATGTAATTTTTCAAATAAATATATCTTTACCATTATCTCTTCGTGTTAACGTGTCGTGTCTTATTTTCTCCCGCGGGTACTCCCTAATATGATATGCCCCGGGTATATGCCGCCCCAACGGGTAGGGTTTTTGCGCCTTTTGGGTCTGAAAACGGTTATAGATTTCGCCCATTTCGCCCATTTTTAGTCTGGAACCGGGTTCAAGGGAAGTGTATGAACGTATTTATCGTTTTAATTCCAAATGAGTAAGAAAGAAAGAGAAATATGCAAATTCGAAATGGATTTGAGGAATTTTTTGTTTGCGCTCTAATCTACGTAATGATGACACAATTATTGCCTAAAGGCCAGGTCTAAAAACAGGTGTAGCCTGTTCCAGGCGTTCAGATAGTGGGGAGCGGTGCGAAGTAAAAAGGAGCGCGAAAAAATAAAAGCGAGGGAGGAGGAGAGGTGAGAGAGGGAACCCGCACCTCTCTCCCCAGTCCCCCTCTACTTTTCATCGCTTTCTTTACTCCGCACCGCTCTCCACTATCTGAACGCTTGGAACAGGCTAAAACAGGTGTGGAAAACGGGGAGTAGAATTTCTTGTTTCTGATCGAATCTGACATCTTACGAGCCGTTACTTATCGAACTTAAATAGCCCATAAGTCCGCTAGGATGACCAAACAGATGCCAATTTTACAGCGCATAGTGTCGTCACGCAACGCTCCTCTTCCTTGTGGGGAGGAGCGTTGCGTGACGACACTAAAAAAGGTTGTGTAGCAGGCTAAAAGTACTCTGGATAGCCTAAAAAGTGTTTTCAGTGTATTTAGGAAGAAACCGTCGTTTGGTGCCCCTGTTTTATTTAACATTTGGGATCAAAAGTGCAAATTCCTGTGTTTTAGGAAGCATTTCTCCCTATCTCTTTAATCAAGCTGAAAGGTGCTATTACGAAATGTTGCGCTTGACATCACGATGCGACAGGAGCCGATTGCGCGTGATTGGTTGAATTACCCTTTCTATTCAATTGTAATCTTTACGATTAGTCTTCGATCTAACTTTTACAGAAACATTAGTAATAGATATCCCCTTTTTAATAATTTTAGACAACAATGAAAAAACCCTCTTAACATTTAACAATGTAAGTCCTCATATCTACAGACTTGCAGCTGCTTACATACAAGACCTTAAACATAAATAATGTAGGAAATGCAACGTACTCACATTGTTATTGTTGTTAAGGTGGCAGCCATAGTGATGAACGGTCAGCGGTTTTGGGGGTTGGATACACACAATGCAACATATATGAAGTGAATTGCTCATGTTCTTCCTATCGCCATTGTCATCATCATTGATTTTTTCGCCTTCAGCTTGGTATTTATAAGCTAGCGGAAAAGATAAATTGATTGGTAGTAGCGCAGGATGAGTGTACAAGGTATGAAAAACATTAAACTTCTTTATATTCTTGTGTATCAGCTTTTACAATCAAAGTCAGTACAGCTAAAGCTTATTGTAAGCTTAAGCTTTTATGATGGTTTTCAAATCTGTTGTCTTGTTTAATTCCTAGTCTCTAAGTGGACAAAATTTTTCACGCAAGCCGGGATTCCAGGCGCCCCTGCAAGCAAGTAAGCCTGATATAGTATCGTTTAATTTCTTCCGCCTTAAACCATCGTAAGCTTCATCTTGGGAGATGAACTAGACAGGGATAACCTCTTCATCTCCTTTTTCTTTGTGAATAAACAGTTTATATTATTATTTTTAAATTAAAATATTATTATTATTATTATTATAAATATTATCTTTTGAAGTTCTATAGTTGGCATTAACAGATATAGCCTTTTGATTGTCAGTTCATTTTGTAAACTATCGATTGTGTCTGTTATTTAGCAGTTGATTACCCAAAAATCTTAGTCAAATAGATTTAAAAGCATGCTATTTTTTCTGTAATAATCAGTGTGAAAGCCAAGATCCTTGCTTAAGATCTTCGCTTAAGATCCTCAATGGAATGTGCCATTTTGTATCCCCCCCCACCCCTTATGAGTCACTGTTTATCACCTCTACACTTCATTTGAAACTCAAAAAGTTGAAGACCCCATACATTTATTGTGGCTGCTTTATCATGGAATTCAGGTGTCCCTCTCTCCCATGCCCCCCCACAGGTTAGGGGGTGGAGACATATGACATTTCAGACTATGCTGCACTCCCACATTCGATGTCAGAATTTATTATGTAAATCGTGCAACTAAAGGACCGCAGGCGCAGTTTTTTTAAGTTAGATATTAAGTGGGTCAAGGATGAAAAATACAGGTGTATCAGATTTTGTTGCCAACTTTATCACCCTTGTTAAAAGTATAATTGGATAATATTAATGAAAATTGTTAGAATCTTATTTACATATATATCTTGTCCTTATTTGCTTACTGCAGTTATGCTGTTATATTTTATGACAATCGCATAAAGGAGGACATGTTACCTGACCTGACAAAGGTTTGTAGAAGTCCAGTGTTTGCAATTCCATTTCCTTGTTGGAAGGTGCATGAACTGAAAAGGGTTGCTTTTGTAAGTGGTCATTTGTAATGCAATTTACATTGTAATTTATTACTGGAAGTAAAAGTGTGTGATAAGCCTCTAAAAATAGAGGCAGACTGTACTGCTACCGTGTTAGGAGGTGAAGAGTGACTGGTTTGTACCGGTAATGTCTCATATTGCCGTAAATAGAAAATGTTTCAACTTGGATGTTTCTGAATAGACAGTTCATCACTTATGCAAGAAAGTCTTTTTTTGACGAGATACGTGTACATCAATCAAGCAAGCAATAAATCAACATTATTCATTCTTGGCCAATTGTTTTAAGCTTATACAAGCTAGAAAAAAAGCCAGAAAAAATTCAGGATCATACGGGATTCAAAGCCTTGAACTCCGTGATACCAGTGCAGGTTTGATACTGGCAGACTGTCCAACCATCCTGATCTCGTCAGGATTCTCCCAAAAATCCCGAAACCTGACCAGTATGTGATCAGGATAGGAAAAATCTCAATTTTGAGATCTGTTCTGATATTTCGTATGAATTCTTATGATACTTATACAAGTATCATAAGTATACTTAACTGAAACTGATATCCAAAAGGTATCATAAGATGCAGCACTTGTCCTTGAAGACACGTAACATAAATAAGCCTCTACATTCCCACCGGGGATCGACCCCCAAAAAATCTAGAGGGGTTTATATGGAGTTTTCTGAGCATAACTGGGTTAATATCTCAGAGACAATTTCCCCTGAAATGCTTATTTTTGGCAAGTAGGCCGTTTGGTCATTGTTCTTTCAGAATATTCTGACAAATCTCAAAAGAAATTTAATTTTTATGATGCCACACTCTAGTACTCTATATTACTACTTACTCAAAAGCTTGGACAGTCTGTACTAGGACGGAGCAGGTCATTGAGTTGGTTCATTATAAACTCATGAGAGGATCAGACAGTGATCATACATGTATATTCATTATTTCAATGATAAGTGTAACCTGAGAGCAGGCTCAATTTTTGTTTTGCTTTGTAAATAACATTGTGGCGGGCAAGGTGAAACAAAAATGGTGGTAGCCGTTAGAGAGAATGTATGATAACCGCTAAAATTGGGCCTGAACTCAGGTTATGATAAGTGTCCAAAGCAATGTTTATTTTGAATTAGGATAGGTTATGTTCAATTCAATCCTCTGACATGGTGACTGCTAGTGACATCACAAATGATTTTAAAGTTTATAATATGGTCTGTAACGTGAATAATATAATATATGGTCTGTGACATACTGCAGTAAGAGGGCCAAGAAGATCAGCACGTGCAAGAACATCTACCTGGAACACTATTTACAGGGACTTTGAGTCACACTAGAAAAAAGGGGGGAGATGTAGTGTCGGGTCTTAGGGGACTTAATGTACGATAATTAGATGCGGAATGGTTGTAACACTCTAAGAAATTAAAGTAGGGACTTGATTTGCATATAGGACAGTGTAGAATGGACCAGTAGGAGGACTATTAATGAAACTAAGGGCGTATAATGTAATCGTTTATTGAGCTCGATTTGCGACTTCACACCTTTTTTCCAGGAAATTTTACAAGACATGGGAATTACTGTGATGGGAGACATCATTGCCATTTTAAGGCATAGCAAACAAGTTCATGCACAGGTAAGCCAACTATGTCGGTTTTTCTTATCAGTTGTTGATTGTTTTTCTTGGAAGCATTTCTAGTGAACTAACCTTTTTGCTCCAGAACTCACCTTGGTCATCTTGAAATTTTATCAAAATAAGTGGTCAGATTATTATAGCTAAAACTCATTTTGTTGCATATACTGACCTAGTCATTAAAAACCTAGTTACTTTCAAATTTTATGCTATTACGGTGAACTACAAATTTCCATTCTGTCAGTATTGTTGCCTTTTTGTCCATGGCAAGTGATGATATTGTTTCACCAAATACATATACACTATCTTAATACAATACAACTTAGGCTTATTCATGTACTCCTATCAGAGTGGACTCTTGATTTACCTGGTAAACTCTAATGTGAATTAACCTTACAAAATCAAATTCGCTTGTATAAGGAACTCTCAAACATTTCATTTGCCTTTCTGTCAAACTTTTAATAAGTACCTAAATTTATAACACTTTACACTATACAAATGGCGACCATTCAAATTCAAATTCAAATGGTAACCATTCAAAAGGTTTCAGCGAAAATTGTATGCCTTGGAGGGGAAACTGTTTATGTATCCATCAAATTTGCAGAGTGAGAGAGAGAAGTCAGCAAAAGACATGGCTGCTACTGATGATCCAGATTCATCAGGTGAATCGTCACCAAGCAATCAAGTTCCTGTTGGTGCTAAACGTAAATCAACAGGTATACCTTGCAGTTTATGTTATTGATATGCTCAGGGCCCACAATGAGGGACACATGTGTTGAGACAATCGTCCATAAAATGGCTCTTTTTTGGCTACAGTGTATCTATATCCTGTCATCCTGTGCACATCCATTCCCTCCCCCCAAACCAATGTTGTATCTTTTACCCTCAAGTCTTCCTTCAACTACAAATAACATTGATTCAGGGGTGGATCAATGGAGATTTATGTCATTTAAACAGAATTGTATGTTATAGGATTGTCACTAAGATTTCAAGTTGTCGAGTAAATACGACAAGTACCGTAGGTGGGGAATCAAACAGCTAGCGATTTCTTTTGGTTCTTTTATTTTTCCAGGTTCATAGTATCTGGGGGAAATCCCTGTCCCCTGCCTCTTAATGAGTGCCCTAATAAATGAATGAAATTGTTGATAAAAGCAACTATGCATTTTAGACATGTGTGTCAACTGCTTTTATCACTGATTGCAGTTATTTTAAGACCCTCTTAAGGCTGTGCCAACCTGCAGTTTTTACCCAACACTTCAGTTTACTCTATCCCAGATAGACTCTCTTGGTTTGGTAATTTAAGTAAAGTACATACCTCTCTCTTTGAATAAAGGCTCAATAATATTTTAGAAGCTTCAGATACAAATTGCACCTTGATGATAGCCTGCATAGCCAGCAGGATTGTTAGCATGAGCAAAGCTTTGGTGGAGGAGCTGCAAAAACCATTACTTGCTTCCTGCTTGTGGCTTTGCTACCCAAAACTCTCACACTTGCAAAAACAATTCTGCAAGCTATGCAAGGTACCTTGATGAAAAATTTTGTATAACAAGTATTTCACCTTATAACCTACAATTTCCTCTGGTGACACAGGGAGTCAATGTGTATGTGATTAGCCACCTTTGATCAGTCATACTACAGACACAAGGGTTTCTGTGAAACCATCTTCATCAGACATTATGAATGTTGAACCAGTTCTTAAGAATCCATTCTATTGACTCACTTTCATAGTCACATTTGCAGCGTTCACAGGGCCTCAATAATTTGCATCATTGGAAGTTTCATTGTTGTAGATCACAGTTGCAATCAAAATATGTGGATGATAACATACTTGTGTTGAGATCAAAAGTTCAAACTGAATTTCCCTTGAAACAGATGACTTTTCTTTTGAATTTCTCCTATCTTCTAGTTTTGTTTGTTTCCCTTTCATGCTTTCTACTTTTTTTCACTCAGTACTGTCTGGGAAATCTACTGTACATGGCCCTTCATGGACATGATGGCATATTAGCTTCAATTATTTCTAACCACAGTAAAAGTTCACTGTCGTGACTTGTTCGTTTTTAGCTGCAAGCCGCATGGTGGATCATTGGATGAACAAACAGAAGTTAGAAAGTGGAAGTACCAGTCCTGCACATGATCCCGAGTCATCACCATCCCCATCCAAGAAAAAGCTCACCATTCATACAGTAGTATCAGACAAACCTCAACCAGCAAGGTCCCAGAAAACTCTTTCTGAAAGGTGTGTATCATACATTGTAATGTTTAGCTTGTTCCCTGCGCCCAGGTGCAGAGTTGTAACCGGTCATTTCTCCCCGCCCTGGTTACTTACAGTGTAGCCCCCTATTTTCGAGTCATTTAGCTTTCTTCAAATATAATATTCCTGGTTCTATGAGCCACAAAACTGAACAAGGGCGTTTTAAATGTAATATTCCTCGTTTTACAAGCCATAGACCAAAACAAGTGCGCTTCAAATACAATATTCCCTTTTCTAAAATAGGAGGCTAAGTAACCGGGGCAAAATGACTTTAGAGAAGCGCGTTCAAGGGAAGCGCGAAGCAGAGTGCCCCGGAAATCTTGCTCGCAAGCTAGGTCACTCCACAGGAATCCATCCATCTATTTAAAAACGTTAAGACACCTTTCAAGACTCTCTGATTCGCGCTGGCAGTGAAAGGGTTAAGCAGAAAGTGGAATTTTCAACTTTTGATCTACCTTACTTTCGATGCAGAGGTACACAATTTGGGGGATTATGGAGGCTTTGTTCTGTTTTTTTTTCCGAGTCAATAGCGGAGTTCATGTTCATACATTTTCTGTAATTTTGATACTGTCGAATTACAGAAAATGTATGGGAAAATCAGGGTTTTCTAAAATCTGATCATGGACTTCTTTGCACTCCAGATTTGGTGTATTGTTTCTTTGAACTCGTAAGTTACCCTATTCAAAGAGAAAGCATCAAATATATGAATTCAGGAAGAAATAGCGGGGCTTTGAATTCTTATACAAATCTACTAATTTCCCTCCGTCTTGCCCTGATTACCCATGATGCAACTATGAGCGTTAACTCCTCTATTGTGAAATTATATGTTAAAAACTAAATCTCGCTCTTTGGCTACGTTCAAACGGCTGACAAATGTGACTGGGGTCGGATACATCTCTCACATGGAACCGTTCAATATTTATGCTTTTTTCACATGGTACTGACGACTTTTCTCAGTGGTTTTACCATCTACCCATGCGCAGAGCGTCACTTTGCAACTCTGAAATGGCATCTTCCAGCTGAGTTAGCCACGCAGCCATGCAACCACGCCTTTGAGACACCCTTACCTTATAAGACTTTAAACAGTCGTGGTGTTCACACTGCGCTGGTCAAATTTTCGACCATGCCGGCTAAAATTGGCATTAAAATTTTGGAACGGCTAGGCGTCTAAATATTCGTACGGTTAGCGTTGTTCCACATGAACGGAACACTTTACACGCACGAATTCTTAACCGGTCGACTTGGGACCTGTTTCCCGAAAGTCCCAGTTTCTTTTCGCACCCGAAATCAAATATTCTCATCAAAATCTAAAGAATAAGAGCACGGGTCCTACCTAACAAACCTGTCCATTTTGTTTTGTTGACTGGTAGTTTCATCATGCTATCTGCAAAACTTTTGAAACTTCCTTCTTGAATATAAACAACAACAGTTTATTATCGGAACCTTTGGTCCGGTACTATGTGAATGTAGTCTTTGTCTTTCAATGCTTCCTGTACCGTCTCTTCGCGACGCGTCAAAGTGAGATATTCGGTGGGGGTTCGAGGCGCTCGATAATTTTGTTACTGCACTGATTTGGGCAGCTGACTCTGGCGTGACCTTTATCCCCTCGATTACCATGGCAGAGGTTAGCTCGCAGGCTGGTTTATTGAGACATTTGTTCCTTCTTGTAGATTTGGCGGGAAAGGAGTCAAGCTGTTTTCCAGAAAGCCAGAGAAAGTCAGTCAAAAGATTGAAGGGGAACACACGCTAAAAGTAAAACTGCCTGCAGGATCAACTGCACGGAGCAAGAAGCTGATTGCGAAGCAAAAACAGGCGGCAGCTTCCGCTGTAGGTAGGTTAAACTTAAAGTGCTATCATAACATCATTGTGTTTACTGACACCCCCCCCCCCCCCCCCCCCCCCCCCCCACACAAAATTTCTCCTTTTTTTCCCCTACTCTTTTGGTTTGTAGGTATGGTTGTGTTTCTGTTCTGCTCTTGTCATTGTTGGTTTTTTTTTTTTGTTGTTTTTTATAAACGAAAAATAAAATAAAGTCAATCACCTAGCAAGAGANATTACATGTGGCTGACGCAAAGCGCGGGAAAATACATGCGAGCGCGTCACAATTGGCTTTGGTTTTACTTCTGATTGGATGAAAAGGTGACGCGAATCTTTTAAGCCAATCGCATCGTGTAGAAAGTGCAAAACCAATTACTTTTCGACACTCAAATGAAAACCGCTCTATTAGCTAATTGACATTGTAATAAGGTAGACAGTGAACAGGCGCCCCTCTTTCTCAGGGCCGCGCGCGTCGAGCAAAAAGTAAACTTGTGCATTCCCCTCACGCACGCTCTCAATCTATTGTGATTCAAAAAAAGAAAAATAAGAGACTGCTCGCAGTATAGTTTCTTGGACACTAAGCCTTGGTTCCCCGGGGCAGGGCTAATCCCTATCATTGGCTGTACGTGGAGGCTCCTCCTGAAAGGGGGTAGCTTTTTCAGGTTTCAGGTAGAGAATTCACGAGTTCAAGCACATGGAAGGGTAGGAAAATCTATCATTAAAGTATATTTACCCTTTAAAAAAGGTCTTTTAATTTAAATTTTTCGAGAAAGCGCGCTTTAGCGAGTTATACTCAAGTGAAAGGGGTACCATTTTTCAATTGAAGAAAGTTATATAAACGGTAAGGAACCTACCCGTGTAAAACCTTTGTTGAGTACCCTTCCCCTGGGCTTTGGTTTTACTTTGTGGCATTTCTGTTTTGCAGTCAACAAAGCAAAGGTGATAAAGAAACAGTCAGTGTTTGATCGCTTGGGTAAAGAAAGTCCTCCATTAACGGTAACCATACCCGCAGAGAAGAAGCAAACTGAGTTAAAACCACTCAAACCTTTAAAAACAAGCGTTGCTGTACAGCTTAAGGTAAGCGAAAGGTTATAGTGGTGGAAATGGTGTTCCTGCTAGCATGAGAGGAGTATTGTCCAGATTGTACTTACGGATTACCTCCATTAAGCCATTTTCGAGTTCCAGAAATTCGCACTTTTAAAAATGGGGCCAAGTGGAAAACCTTTCGGGACCTTCCAAAAAAAGCTTCATAAGCAAAACAAGTCTGCACGTACATCATGATTTTCTGTCAATTTCTTTGGCATCCTTATACAACTACGACGTGAAATGACCAAGTTTCACGTTATTTTTTTCTTTTGAGAACGTGAACGGCAAGGCGATAAATGTTTCTCACGCCCTGATTTTACTGAATCTTTCTGGGCTTGGACGCGGTCCTTTCCCCTTATGTCCGTCTTAATTTCCCAACTTTAAAAGACTGAACTAATTGGAAAAATCGAGAAAAAGATTGACAGGACGCGAAATAATGTTTTCAGTGACGCTTTTACTGGCGTCGCTGTTGTTAAGTCCCGTGCAAACGGACGCAACATTGTTAGCCAACAACTCCCAAAAATGTTGGATGTTACATGTTGCGTCTGTTTGCACACCCTCTTGCATGTTGTTGCGTGTTGTTGGGAGTTGTTGCGCAAAGTTTGAAATCGGTCAAACTTTCAGCTTTGTGCAAACGGACGCAACAAGTCGTTGTTGCTTAAGCTTCTTATTGTCGGCTTCTTTCCTCCCTTTTCAAGTACCACTGTTTTTTTTTGCAGGAGAAAGGACAGTCCTCCGTTTTCAGTCGTCTGGGAGAACTGGCTTCACCAGCAACTCAGACAACTGTCCAAGCTGTAAATCCAAGAGTACGGCTTCCCTCGGACGATGAACCTCATGCTGGTGTAGACTATACAAGTCACAGCGTTCTTCAACCGGTTAAAGGGAAAAGAAATCAGGCTAAACCGGTTAAACCAGTGAAACCGGTCAAGCGAACCCTAGGATTAACCTCGGACGTAGATGAAAAATCGGTTTTCGCGCGACTGGGTTCAAAAGTACAGCAGTGAAAATGCAGTAATTTTGAATCGGTTCTTCGAAACTGGAGATTCTTTTTAATCTCTTGCAGTTATGATCAAAGCGCGAGTTTTACTTCATGAACTAGTCACTCATCCGGCGACTATCTGGAGCTTACTATGTCTGGCAGACGGATAAAACCGGATGGACAGGAGGAAAAATAATGAACCCTCGCGTGTGACCATTTATAACGAAGAATACTTTATGGTTTTTATGATACCACTTCGTTTAACACGGAGATATAAAATTCCGACATTTGTAGTGAAAAACTACATTCTTCTGCTTTTTATGTGGTAGTTGTTGACAGTCAACAATAAACTGTTTTTCTTTAAACTTGGGGACTACGTGAGTAACACCTGAGTCGGTCCCGTGGTCTGGAGGCTTACGCGGGACAAAGTTTTCATATTTTTAGTGATATCCTTCCTTAAAGGTTTGGATTGCAAGCAATTTCTACGAAACAAAAATAGTGATCATACTTTAATGCCATGAGGGCCATGTATGGCGTTCCGTTGCGGACAAAATTATACAGACAGTAAAAACACGTTGAAAACATAATACTTAAGTCGAAACTTGTAAAATACATCGAATGCAATAAAAAATATGAGTCGAGATTTGCAAAATATATGTTCACGAACGAAAAAAAAAAACACGAGTCGAAATTTTGAAATTTGAGTCGAAAAAAATGCGAGTCGAGTTGAAAAAAAAAAAAA